GAAGGAATTAAATTAGCCGCCCCCTCCACTCACCTTAATCGACGGAACGGAAATCACAGGCTATCTACGCAACTCCCTCTCCCAGGCTTATATATAGAGCAATTCATTCTTCATCATCTCCACACCAAAATCATCCCATTAGTTAGAGGAGAGTTTAGAGAGTTGAGAGAAGATGTCCGGAGAGCTTCCCGTCGCCGGAGCAAGCCATGGTGTTCGCCGGAAGTTTCGCCATTTTTCCGCCGGAATCATCGTTTTACTTCGAAGTAAGCCCGTAGATATATCTAGTGACTAGAATGTTCGTATAGATCGTTTCTACGCTCATAAATGGTCGTTTGGTTGAGTTTTGTGTTTGACATATGTGAAGAACCAAGAATCATAAACTTTGAATTTGATGTTAAAACTTCGAATTGATGCCTCTAAAATGATCTACGAACCTTGGAGAACATTTCTATATAGTTTAATTGAAGTTTGGTGACCAAAAAATGGAACTTGAGAAAAATGGGCTAGAGGTTGAAGATGATGAATAGTGAACCTTCAAATTCCGGCATTTTCCAGCGGAACGGGCGACCGTTCGGTCCCAACGGTCGACCGTTACGAACATTTTTAAGCCCAAAAATGCTATTTTTGAAGCTATAAAATCCTATTTTTTTATATACCAATCAATTATGATCAATATAAAAATAATTGTTAAAAATAAAAATGATGTTTTGACAAATAAAATTTTATGTGATAAAATAAAAATGATGTTTTGACAAATAAAATTTTATGTGATGTATGACGGTAAGCTAAGGTGTTAACACTCGATGCTAGGCCGTTATTTGTTATTAGATATTGTGATGATTATTATTGATGTTGTTTATGATTAGACTTTGATGAATATTATTATTAAAATAATAATTACGAATGATTAAATTATGATTAAAAAAATGAATATATTGATGATTATGAAAATGATGTATATTGTTAAGGATATCTAAAAGAACTCTAAGATATACCCACTTGGAAAATTGATGATGATTATTAAGTATATTTAGAAGAACTCTAAGATATACCTCCTTGACCAATTCATATTTAGGGGTTAAAACGTACGTACGGGGTCCAGAACGGATATCACCCACCCGACAGTTCACTGTTCGGTTGGTACGTAATCCACATGACTCATAGGGTGGATTATCGATTCTTGTGTTCTGCATTAAAGTATTTATAGTTTAAGGGCCTGGTTAGAAATATTGCCTTAGACTAGGGATAGCTAAGAGCTTGTATAAAAACGATTTGGCCTTAGATTAAGAATAATTTAAGAGCACTGATGAAATATTGAATATTGAATATATCATGAAATGACTTAAAATAAAATATTGTGAATATCATGAATAATGTAGGCTTGAAATATGTATTGTGTGCATGATATCAAATGGTTAATTATGAATTGAGATTCAATTTATATGGATGTTCGATGCATTAGATATGCTTACTCAGCTTCAACGTTGAGCGGGTAGTATGTTTTATTTGCTACACGCAGGTAAACAGAAAGATTAATGTGATTCTGGCGGCAGATGGGGCGAGATTGTCAGGATGGATGTGACAAAGTTTTGAAATAATTTATGATATGTCAATATTAAATTCGCTTCCGCAATATTGTTAAATACTCCGTACTGTATATGTTATGAAAAATATTATTGAGATTAATAAAGTGTGTTTGAAAAGTTTTAAAATTTACGATTACCAAGTTAAATACTTTAGTCCAAATGGGGCTGCAGACCTGGAC